TGAAGAGGACATCCCTTGAAATGCGCCTTTACAATGAAATGGGATCTGAAAAGGCTCCAATCCATTTCAGAGACAGCCTCTTCTGTCAGGAACCAATAGAGCCCTTTCATTCCACAGCGCACCCGCCCGTTCATAAAGTGAGAACTGGTCGAACTCCCCATTTAACATGTTCAGAGCTGATATTAAATTCCAGATTTTATATCTGCTGATGCCCATTCAGGACTAAGTTATAAATCTGAAGTCTCTGCTCAGCTCCTGAGTTTGACAGTGCTCGATAGAAACTTTTATAATCAAGTTCAATAAAGAATCACAAATCTCCACCTGGGAGTTTAGCTTACAACAACCTTTGTAAATAACATCTTCCAGCCTTGATGTTTGTCAATATTTGTCATTTTTTTTAAAAAAGGCGCAAAATAGAAATACTTTGTAAACTCTTATCTTCTGGGTGGAATTCAATAAGGGCAAGGTGGGGCAATATACGTCCATAATCCCAGTACTTGGGAGTCAGAGGCAGGAGGATTCCTACACATCCAAGACCATTCTTGTGTGTACAGTGAGTTTCAGGCCAGCCAGGTATACATATTGAAACCCTGGCTCACAAACCAGAATCCATCTGTGAAAAGCAGATGGTGGGTGGATGGATGGTGACGGCCCCCAGCATCATGGACAGGGAAATCACCATGCGGACCATCATCTGGAGATCTTGGAAAACAAATTCCTCTTTGCTCGCCAGCATTTACCTCAGTGCTGAGATGAGAACTTGGGCTAGAAATTGAGGGGTTAGTTTTCTCCCCAAGCCTCCTTTCTATGAGTTCATTTCTACAGAGCTAGAGCTTGGGTTTTTTTTTAAGTGATAAAAGATATTTTTACTTAAATAAGTTGGATTCTGGGTTCTCTGCTTTCCTACCTATTGAAAGGGACCAGAAGCAACATTCTATGTGTATCCAGCCATCATTGGAGGTCCATAGACAACTTGTGCCAGGATTCCTTGAGGACACCCAGATCTCCAAATCTAAGGACCCTTAGGTCCCTAATAAAAGGTCATAGGGTTTAAGCTGTAAACTACCCACATCCCCTGTATGCTTTAGGTCAACTCTGGGTTATTTGTAATATTTAATGCATAGTAAATGCTCTGTAAGTAGTTACTGTGCCTATTATAGGGAATAATGATAAGAGATAAATATATATGTTCAGAACAGATAGAATTAAAAAAAATTTAATCTGAAGTTGTTTGAATCTACAGGCATAGAACACATACATACAGAGGACCAACTGTATTTTTGTACATATACATAAATAGTAACATGTGCCACATAACATGATATATATATATATATGTGTGTGTATATATATATATATATATATATATATATATATATATATTACAATAGTAGATATGTATGGAGATGGTAGGCATCAAATATCAAATTCAGGACAATGGTCTTTCTGAAGATGAGAGAGGGCAATATGAGAAATAGGATACCTACAAAGTATCAAGAAACTGTGTTTTTTTTTTTTTTTTTTTTGGTTTTTCGAGACAGGGTTTCTCTGTGTAGCTTTGCGCCTTTCCTGGAGTTCACTTGGTAGCCCAGGCTGGCCTCGAACTCACAGAGATCCGCCTGGCTCTGCCTCCCGAGTGCTGGGATTAAAGGCGTGCGCCACCAACGCCCGGCAAGAAACTGTGTTTTATTTTGTCAAATTGAACAGAAAATTTTCGTGGTTTTAAAAAGAGATTTACTTATTACTTTTATTTTATGAACATGAGTTTTCTGCCTGCATGTATGTATGTGCACTGCATGCATGCCTAGTGTCTGCAGAAGCCAGGAGAGGGTGACAGATTCCCAGGAATTTGAGTGAAGGAGAGTTGTGGTGTGCTGGGAATCAAACCTGGGTCCTTTGCAGGAATAGCAAGTGCTCTGAATCACTGAGCCATCTCTCCAAACAAAGTTTAAACAGGGCCTAGAATTGGCATCAGAGAAATGGGAAATGATACAACGGTCTACATGTCATTCGAATTCCACATGGGACCACTAGGCATGGTACCATGCACTCCTGCTTGTACGCACACAGGAGGCCGAGGCTGGGGTGTTGCTGTGAGTTGGAGGTCAATACAGGCTGCTGAGGTGGATCTTATCTCAATAAAAATAAAGGTGAAACCAAACCCAGTCAAGCATGTGGTATCATTAATCCCAGTACTTGGGAGGGAGAGCCAGACAGATCTCTATGAGTTTGAAGCCAGTCTGGTCTACACAGGGAGTTCCAGGCAAGACTGCATAGAGAGATCCCTTTTCAAACAACAACAAACAAAACACCAAAAAGAAAAAAAAAAAAAAGAAAAGGAAAGAAAAAGAAAAAAGAAAAGAAAAGGAAAGAAAAGGCTCCCCAGCAAAACCTAGTCAAATCAACCAGACAGAAGCACCACAAAATTATACAGGACCAAACAAAACCCCTGTGGTGGCTTGAATGTAATTGGCCCCCATAAGCTTATAAAGAGCGATCTTTTAGGAGGTGTGGCTTTGTTGGAATGGGAGTGGCCTTTTTAGTGGGTGTGGCCTTTTGGAGTGGGTGTGGGCTTGTTGGAGGTAGTGTGTCACTTTTCAGGGAGGGCTCTGAGGTCTCTTATGCTCAAGGTATGCTCAGTGTGGAACCCAGTCTTCACTTCTGCTCTCTGTGGATAAAGATGCGGAACTCTCAGCTCCTTCTCCAGCACTACATCTGTGCACCGCCATGCTTCTCGCCATGATGATAATGGACTAAACCTCTGAAAATGTTAGCCACCCCATTAAATGTTTTCCTTTAAAAGAGTTTCAGTGGCACACGCCTTTAATCCGAGTCAGTACTCAGGAGGCAGAGCCAGGTGGATCTCTGTGAGTTCGAGGCCAGCCTGGTCTACAGAGCAAGATCCAGGACAGGCACCAAAACTACACAGAGAAACCCTGTCTCAAAAAACAAAAACAAATAAACAAACAAAAACAAAACAAAACAAAACAAAAAAAGAGTTGCTGTGGTCATGATGTCTCTTCACAGCAACAGAAACCCTAACGAAGACAAACTCCACAAATTCCAGATGGTTCTTTCACTGTCCTCAGATTTGCTCTGGGGCTCACTGTTGGGATGACCGGGATGTAGAACCAGCAAGGAAAGGCAGATAGAGTGTTGCCTTATGCCAGTGTCTGGGAGCTGCTTATTACGTTTATAGGAGTTTTGTAAGCCAATATGTAAATACCCATTATTAAAAATTAAAGTATGTACGTTACAGTGAACCACATTATATTAAAAAAGATAGTAAATGCTTAAAACTCTTCACACTCCAATTATGTAACTGTTGTATTATTCAGAACTGCAGAAACTAAGACAGGACAAAACTCCAAAACAAAACAACACCTGAGCAAACACAGTTTAAGGGAGAAACAATCTATCTGGGTTCATGGTTCCAGAGGATTCTGTGCATCATAAAGAAGATGATACAGCAAGATGAGACAGAACAGAACAACTCACATCATAGCAGGCAGGAACCAGGAGGGGCGAGAGGGAAAACTGAAGACTGAGAGTTTACCTGCTTTCTCCCTTCAACCCCCCCCCCCCGACTTGTTACACCTGGGTTCCTACCTTAAGAAGTGGGGCAGTACACATTCAGTGTGTTTGCCCTTTGTCGCCTTTGTGGAGATGCCCTGGAAGACACCCCCCGGAGGTGTGGTCTCAATTGCATCTTCATGGTTAAAATACTACACGATGACCTGCTTTTGCACGTCTTCACAACTCTGTGTTCAAGGACCTCTAATCGATAGCCTGAAACTGGAAGTGTTTACACCACGAAGATGTACAGGTGCTACTCATCGGGTCCTCACGGGCCCCCCCACCCCGACAGCTTCTTGTTAAACATCATCAGCACACACTGTCAAGAAACCACCATCTGCCGGGCGGTGGTGGCGCACGCCTTTAATCCCAGCACTCGGGAGGCAGAGCCAGGCGGATCGCTGTGAGTTCGAGGCCAGCCTGGGCTA